CCCTCCATCTCTGGCTCTGCTGCTGCTTGGCCAACCGGGGGCACGGCTTGCGGGAGGGCTGGCCCGCTGAGCCGGGCCGCTCCCAGCGGGGATGCCGGGGCTTCCCCACGCAGCTCCCCGGCCACGTGCACCTTGGATGGGGCCAGTCCGGGAAAGGGTCTTCCTGGCCATCCTTCTCCCAGGGGCCGGGGCACCCGGGCGCAGGGCCAATCAGGAGCTCTGCGAGGGGGCAAGTCTGCATGAGAGAGAGAAGGGAAGCGCAAGTGCCTCTCTATCTCTTTCTCTGTCTCTCTCTGCAAATGGTGGAGGAGGCTCTGGAGCTTCAGGAGATGGCTCAAAGAGCTATATGCGGCTCCGGAGCCGCGGGTTGCCGACCCGTGGGCTATACTGATCCAGAAACAGTACATTGCCAGTTTGGGAGTGCTCCTTGATCACTATATACTACTGGATTTGCAAATAGCAGATGAACTAGCTGCATTTAGCAGTTATCCACAACTTGGTTACAGCCATTCCCTGGCTATATTGTTAACTGGCCTAGTATCTAAGCTGTTATGAATATTTATTCTGGATATCTCTATTGTTTTTTAATTCTTTCTATTGTTTTAAAATATTTTTAGTAATTTGATTGCGATATATATATTTGAATTATAAGCCACCCAGATTCATTGACTGAGAGGGTGGCTATGGAAATTGAATAAATAAACAAAGAAACAAACAAATAAATAAAATCTACCTTAACAAATGCTTAATAAATGACAGCGTGAGCCTTCTGTTGTTGAAGAGCTTCTGAAAATTGTAATCAACACAAAATATACCATAGCAGTTACAACAGTGTTTCTCAACCTCAGAAACTTTAAGATGGATGAACTTCAACTTCCAGAATTCCTTAGCCAGCTACAGTAGTTCTTCTGATGCTTCCAATGAAAGATCTGTTTCCAAAGTCCTGAGAAATACAGGTAGTCCTCAACTTACAACAGTTCATTTAGTGACCATTCAAAGTCACAACAGCACTGAAAAAAGTGACTTATGATCATTTTTCACACTTATGACTGTTGCAGCATCCTTATGGTCATGTGATTTATATTCAGATGTTTGACAATTGACTCACACTTATGACAGTTGCAGTGTCCCAGGATCTTGCGATCACCTTTTCCAACCTTCTGACAAGCAAAATCAGTGAGGAAACCAGATTCACTTAACAACCATGTGACTAATTTAACATCTGTAGTAATTCAGTTAACAAATGTGGCAAAAAAAGTCATAAAATGGGGCAAAATTCAGTTACCATCCCTGATGTTGTCAGAAGCACAACTTTTGACTATCCTACTCAGGGCTTCTCTTAGTGAATCTATAGCTGTGGAATGTGCTCCCTTTTAATCACTCTAAACTGTCTTCATTGCTGAAAAACAAGTTGGAGTAGAACTCTAATAAATAAATGATGAAATAAATTTCTGAAGCATGAACCAGAACATGAATGTTCTGGTTGATCTTTTTCAATGTGTAATAGGCAATTTATACAATTATTTGCTTTTGGATTATTTACCCTCCCTTAAATAATGTTTCACTTTGCATAAGCATAGATATCTCTCTATTAAATATGTATTGATATGAGTTCTATAGGTCTCTGGATTAGTATCCTATTGTTTCTACCTATCGTTAGAAACACATATTTATAATACACATTTTATACCAAATTGTTTTATAAATCCAGTCATAGGGATTAATTTGCAGGAATGTATTTGATTAGAAAATAGGTCACATCAAAAGCAAAATTGGCATGTATTTTAGGTCTGTTTCCAATTATACTCTTTTCTTTATTGTAGTTCAGTTTTGGATCTCTTAAATCGTTTCTACAAACATTGGATATTTCAAATATGCTTGAATGCATAGCATCTGTAGCTGTCAGTTTCTTTTCCTAATTTTTTGAATGTCATACACTTATGGACTAAAACTTCTATATTTCTTGCCTTGCAACCATAAATTGTTTTCCTAATGACTTTATATAGAAAGTAATCTAGGGCTTTTGTCATAGAGTTTATCACCAACATAACTGAAAACCCACTAGCCAACAAGTTAAAGTCAATGTATTCCAATTAAAATGATCTGTTATTTTCATGTTATCTCCCATGGTTTTGCTCACTGGTTTTCAGATTCTATATACCTGTTTGCTAGTTTTGTCTGATCATGTTACAAATTATGATTTAGTAATCTGATCTTCACCCTTTTCTTAGAAATCTTTTCCACTGTTCGTGTTATACAAGATATTCCTCACTTTCAAATAGTGTCATATAATGAGAATTCTACTCCTAGCAGAAATTTGTAGCCAAAGCACTGATTCAGCTCACATCTTTGTATAATTTTTTAGTTGCCACAGGCATTCTATCTCTTCATTTTAGACTCTGATGCATTTTTCCTTTTGCTATTTCAGTTCTTGAGACCTCTTTGAATTCCAAGCTGGTGCTGGGAGATTTATTATGAATTTATGATTAAATTCACACATGTTAAGCTAGATTTTTGCTAAACTGTAGCAGTCTGGTCTGTGTATAATCCTAAAACATGAAAACTAGATTAATACATCATACAAAGACAAAAAAGGTGGTGCAGTGGGTCAGCGGTTAAGACACTGGGCTTGTCGCCTGGAAAGCCAGCAGCCCAGGTTCAAGACCTGAGTACCACGTGATGGGATGAGCTCCAGTCTTCACCCTAGTTCGTCCAACCTAGCAGTTTGAAAACATCAAATGTGAATAGATAAATAGATACACTTTGGTGGGAAGGTAACAGCGCTCCATGATGTCATGCTGACCACATGACTACAGAAATGTCTTCAGACAGCGCTGGCTCAATGGTCTTGAAACAGAGATGAGCACAGCTCTCTATAATTAGCAATGACTAGAGGCGTAAAATCCACAGGAACTCCTTTACCTTTTTTACAAGACAGTAACAAACAAATATTATAGAGTAATATCCTGTATTAACTAGGCCTGTGACTTTTGACCATTGATGGTTTCATCTTATCTTTGTGTTTAATATATGTGTGAATCTCCATTATTTCTTTTCTCCATTTCAATACAAGAAAGCTGTCTTCATTCTAATTTGGTAACTGAACCTGACAATTAGGAGTGTCCGTAATGTAATTAAAAAAAAGTCAAGACAATGTCCGCAATGGTAGAATTGAAGCTCTGCCAATTTATTTATTTTTTTTGTATAAGTGTGTGTCACATAAAATTGATGCATGCTCCAATCCATGGTTGTCCAATATTTTGGCTTACCTATGCTGCATTGACTAAGAGGAACAGTCTTGGGCAGCATATAAAATATATAATATATTTAATGTATATAAATAACAAACTTTGTTCACTTTTTATTTTTTTGATTAATTTGTGAGGCCATGATACTGGCTGTCTGGGGCCACATAACGCCCATGAGCCATATGTGGACACTTGTACCCTAATCAATTTCTGATCAGCTAAAGAGAATAATTAGAAATCAGGGATTTACTCAAACTGGACTCATAGTTTGGGTGTATTCTTGAATTCAGACATGAATATGGATTCTGAGTTTTTCTGCTGGTTTAAGGTATATTTCCTCTCTCTTATGTGCCAAACACTCCATTCTTGAAGATATCAGTAATTACTCCATGAATAAATTATTTTCAAGGCTTAGCAGGTTAGGTGATGGTTTGGATATCAGGCAGGCATTTGCATATTTATGCTGTTCAATGGAAGCAACTCCCTTAATTTAATCAATGGAATAAATATATAAACAGTTTCTCATCCCTCTACAGCCACCTGAAAGTTTCTCATACTTGGCAGCCTTTCAGTTATCTGGAAGACTTCTGGGTGTCTTTCATTGGATTTTTCAGCCAAGGTGTTAATAAACACGTAACACAGCAGCACATGTACAAGAGAGAAAGAGACAATCTGCAATTTTTTTAAAGGACATGTTTACAAACAAACGGCACCCTGTATCTCAGCAGTCTCCAACCTTTCTGGGTTTGTGGATCAGCGGTTGCAGTGGGAGGGAGGGGATGATTTCACACACATATATGCTTTATTGTATATACTGGATTCTGAAGAGTATTATTGTAATGCATATAGCAATAAAATGCCACTTCTGAATATTAGCCTGAGCTTGATTTCTTTATGTATTATGAATTAATGCAAATGTGCTCTGTTAAAAATATAATTTTCAAATTATAGCCCTCTCTTATCAGAGGGGGAGGGATACAACATCATCTATCTCCACTCTACAACACAATCCTTTCAGCAGTTTCAAGAAGGCTCCACACCCATTTGCACCACTCAGGTTATCCTGAGGATACAGATAAACTTCAAGTAGCCTCAACAACTCTCTAAAATAATGCAAAATGACCGGCCAGCTCCAGGAATATAAATCCTTCCATTCTCCACCATCCAGTCAGAGCTGAAGAAGCTTCTTGGATGAGAAGTGAAACATCTTCAAAGAAAAACAAGAAACTCTAGTTGCCTCTTGAAAAAGCACCTTTGGGACAACCATGACCTGGATGACTGAGAATCTCCACAGACATTTATAATTTTCAAAATATTTTCCAAACTGCTATTGGAGCTGACTATCTCGTTTCACAGTTCTTTAGATTTTGTCCATTATTAATCTGGAATTAATACTGCAAATATAACAGCCAGTTTGGCATAGCGGTTAAGGCATCAGGCTAGAAACTGGGGGACCATGAATTCTAGCCCCCCTTTATGAACCCGGTAGAGTAATCTAGAGCCAGTCAGTTCTTTCAGCCCTAGAAAGAAATAAAGAAAATTGCCAAGAAAATTGCAGGGAATAGTCTAGATAGCGGTCAGGAGTAAAAACTAACTTGGAGGCACAAAAATAAGTAAAAATATTTGTAATTTAACATTGTATTCCAAATGTTTAAAATTTTGTGTTGAGTCATGGTATTATATCTAAAAGTTTCATTCTGCCAGCAGAAATAACACACTCACAGAAAAAGCTAGTTTTGTTTATTTGTTTTTCTAGTGTGTGTATATTTTGTGAGAAAGGTGAAGCAAATTTTAATGTAAATAGATAACAACCCTACATTTAGCATAATGACTGAGCAAATATTATTTGCAGGTTCAGACTAAATAACTACAGTATATACTGTTAAATATGTCTGTACAAATGGAAAAAAAGACTTGGCAAAATGTATTACAAAGATAAAATTATTTAATTTGAACGAAATCTTAAATATGCAATCCTATACTATGTAAATCAGATCCTGAAATTCTGCCATGCAGCTTGGATTAATTTATGAGTAACAGAGTGTATAATTTTATTACTCTTATTCTAAATCTATAAAAATTCTAAATTGACTAAGCCATTACTTGCTAAACACATTTATAAACTGTTTTTCAAAATTAAAATTATATAGTATATTTCTACAGCATTTGAAATATTAATTGATGACAATATAAGTAATTTACAGTATAATATCAAAAATCCTTCACATATTGACAGAAGATTTTGTATTGAAATGAAGTGTTACTATTACCAAGAAGGGAAGGAAGTATTATGAACTGTTCCAGGAAAAATAGTAAGGTTTATTATGGTGTTGGACAATATTCATGAAAATTAATTCCTTGCTTTGTAATCTTCATAATTTCTCCATTTAATGAATCATCTTCTAGGATTTTTATCAGTCCTTCAGCAATTAGTGATGGGCTACAAATAAATTCATATGACAAAAATTAGACAAGGCTGACTATAAATATTAGAAATCATTTCATATTTCCTAAACTATTAAAAGAGAAAAGAAACAAATTTCTGTCTTTGCGAGATAAATATATTTGAGGACCAATCAGGTAAATAATAGTTTGATCTAATTTATTTCTATTCATTTTCCTATCATCATGATAACAAAGCAGATATTTTATATGACAAATTATATAGTACTTTTAATATTAGATAAAATATTCTGATATTTGTCTCTGGGATCTTGCAAGAGTCAAAATAAAAATCAGTTATGAAGTTTATACAAACCTCACTCATTAATTCCCATTTGGGCGATTCCAGGACAGGTGATAGAGGGGATATCTAGAGGAGTTAATTTGGATAATATTACCTATAGGAAATTACTTAGTTTGGTAGGACAGGATTGGCAAATTAAATCCTTAGCGGATTTGAAACAAGAAAATATTGTATATTCCTGGTTTTATTATAATCAATTGTTAATGAGGTGGAGTTTAGATCAGAAGGTTGGTATTACTTTGGAGGATGTGAATTTGATCAAACAGATTAAAGATCCAACCCGAGCACATATAAAGAGAAT